ACGAAGTTATACGAGAGCGGGCCGAAGTCGGCCGCGCTGGCCGGCATGCCCGGCGCCGCGTACGCGAGGTGCTGGTGCTGGTGGTGGGGCGGCTGCTGCTGTTGCTGCTGCTGCTGCTGGCGCCGGTAGAGCTCGGCGTAGCGCTCGCTCAGGTAGAGCTGGCGCGCGTTGCGGAGCACGTAGGACACCAGGAGGTTCTTGTGCAGCTTAATGCCGCCGCGCTGGGTCCGGGAGCTGTGGATCTTGCGCAGGGAGATGCTGATCAGGCTCTGGGCGTCCAGGGCGCACTCCATGCTCTCGCGGAGACGGCGGCGGCAGAGCAGCCGCAGCCGCTGCTGCTGCTAATGCTGCTGCTGTTTCTGCCTCCAGCAGGCCACCGGGGCGCGCCGGGCAGAGGGAACGAAGCTCGGGTCAGCGGGTCGGCTGCGCTCCGAGAGGAGCCGCCACCACGCGCTGCGCGCTACTCACGCGCTCGCACTCCCCGGACGGCGCCAAAGCAATGAGCCGCGGCCGGCCCCGGCCCCAGCTATTTAGCCGGGTACCCGGGCTCCGCCCCACGCCAGCTGAACCAATAGGAGTGCCCAGAGCCTCCCGAGTGACAGACGCTGCCCGCCCCGGGGCCACTCGGCTGGCCAATCAGTCCAAGGCGGTTCCTTTGTGCTATTCAAATACCGAACGGATCCCGGGCCTCCAACGCCGCCGCTGCCTCGAATGTTCTCCTGGGGCCGCCGCGCCGCGCAGGACTCGGAGCCTCCGGGGCCGCAGTCTGCGACATGGGTCGCCTCGCAGCGGCCACGTTGGAGCCCGCGGCTGCCCTCGGCCTAGCTCCTGGGAGCCGGGGGTCGGCTCACCTGAGTGCCGCGGCGGAGGCTCCTCCCCCTTCCGCACCGTTGGGCCTCACCTGCTGCAGGTGCGCGCAGCTCCCCTCTCCCGGCCGCGCGGCGCCTCCTCTTTCTCACCTGCCGGCCCCGGTGACCCGCGGGAGCCAAAAGGCCTCTGCAGGAGGCTGTGAGGCCGCCACCGCAGAGCAGTCTGGGCTGCCTCCCTGACTTTTCGGCCGCGCGGCCTCTGGGACTGCTCGCGGAAGGACCGTATTCCCCAGCCGTCCGACGGCAAATCCCAAAGCATCGTGAACGTTGATCTCTGATGGAGAAAGCTCCGAGGCGAGCCACGGAGCGTGCGTGGACCTCGCCACCAGCCGAGGGCCAACGGCGTCCTGAGCGCCGGACGCTGAGTTCCCTAATCACCAGCTCTGTAACCTGTCCTTTTGTGCCTAAGTAATAATAAAAATGACAATAGGGACCATTATTATGTGCCTAGTATGGGGCAGACCCTTCCCAGAAATGCCCTGAAGTCCTCACTGTAACGTTTTCCGAGCGGCGGCCTGAGGCTCGGGGCAGTGGAGTGACTTGAAGGACAGCAGGGCTCCTGGGGGCAGAGCTAGGGTCTGGGCCAGGACCGTGAGCTCCAGAGGGACGCAAGTGCCCATGGCGGAGGAATTCGCCAACTTTTGTTGACACTATTTTCCTTCTTATCCTGAACAATTCCTGGGCCACCTCCTCCTAGCTGGGGACTGGGATGGTCAGAGAAGAGAGGGACAGGATTGTCGATTTCTGGGGGCTCTCCATCTGGACTGGGAGGCCTGAGGGGGGTGACTGCCACCCTGAGGGGGTCCAAGGCGCCCGGGATGGGGGCTGCACAGACAGCTCCTGAGGCTCCTCAAAATGGTCAGGAGGTTTGCCTGAGGTGGGAGGGGACCCTGTAAGGACAACAGGCTTGCAGAGACTGTGAGAGATGGGCAAGACCTTGTGGGCTGGGGTTGGGGGCCTGTGCAGCCCGCCTGCTATGTCACCTCCGCCTCAGGGTCTTCAGGGGCTCCTCTGTCCCTGGGCTTCCTTCTGAGTTCTACTCAGCACCTACTTTGTCCCTTGGCAGGAGTGAAAAGACCCAGACAGATCTTAAGCCAGATCTTAAGAATTCTCAAGATTTACCTCCTGAAACAATTTTTCAGCATCTATTCCATGCCAGGCGTCAAGGGTGAAAACAAAACGGGGGGGTGTTCACATCGTTTTTCAGATGAGGACACGTAGGCACTAAGAACCGAGACTTGGGCCGGCCCGGTGGCGCACTGGATAGTGCGCCGCTTGGGAAGCGCGGCGGCGCTCCCGTCCGAGGGTTCGGATCCC